TGCCCCCGCTGGACCCGCCACCACTACCGTCACCACACATCCTCTCTTGACCACCACCATCGTGACTACCACCACCACTACCACCACCACCGCCGGCACGATCACCGGCGCTACCACGGTACGATGCCATCGGTATCACCATCACCGCAGCTTCGTCCACCTTCACGAACACCGTCGCCCGATACCAGCTGTCTCCTCTCTCGCCTCCGCCTATCTCTTTTCTCAACGGTTCTTCGGTGTACTCCTTCTTGTCCCCGCTCTTCTTGTTCTTGTTCTTCTTCAAACGCTTCTTCTGGACTCTCCTCGTGTTCTTCTTCTGATCTCGCTGGAGCTGATGATTCTTCTTCTTCGAAACTGTCTACTTTGCAATCCCACTCCTTGATGATGCGGTACACGTCGCTGTCTCTGTTCAACCGAAGGAAAGACCGAACACCGCTTTGCCGATGTCTTCGTCTCTTGGTATCGACCGATGTCCAGCGTTCGCGAACGTAACGATGATGATACCGAACAGTCGGCATTAAGATTCACTATGGTCATCTGTTGCATTCGCGGTAACGTCATTTTCCGTTATTCTTTGCTTCTGTTTTTTGCTGCTACGGTTCTCTTTTTCTGTTCATGTGTGGCGCCTTGGTAGGTGCCGACAAAGATTTTGCGGTGAATCTGATAGGGCTTGCACTGCGATCAGGTGTGACGTTTGTTGATTATTTTCGATGCGTGAGAGTGCCAATTGCATACTGCTCGGTGACTACGGAGTTTCGTGAGGTTGCGTGAGTTTTTGAGAATAATGTGATTGGGAGTTTGGAGTCTCATGGCGTTTCGGAGTCATTTTGAAGCATACTTCACTTTAAAGTTAAAAAATTAAATAAATTTAGCCATCAAACGTCTCTTAAAAATAAAAATAAATTGATTCGGGGTATTAAGTACTATCTATTAAACATTATTAACTAGAAGCTAACCAAGGCTAAGTAACCAACCATATCTTTAACATTCCCTCTAATTTTATTTTCCATCAATTCATTCTTGCATTACCATACCACCAGTAAAATACACGTTAGCCTTACATAACATACCATTAAAACGCAGTATACCTATTATAAACAAATACCACGAAAACACTTAGAAAAATGAGATCACTAAACCTCAAGCCAGTCTTAAATTCATTCACGCGAGCCAGTTAAAACATTTCCAGCCGCTTGATCCATCACTAATCGTGCCAACGTAAAACCTAAACGTATATGCCTATACGGTGGGACACCCAGTATACACATAAACGGACTGTTTATCCATAGAAGCGGACCGGTGTGCAAGCATCGAACGCCGCGAGAGCCACTTCCGCTATTTACCGGTTCATTATCGTAAATCCGTGCGCGCGGTTAACAATTACTTTGTCCAATGGCTCGACCCAGTGTTATTAGACCGTTCATCCAATTACCATGAATTTATTAGCCCAAACGGAAAACACCGATGTATATTAACACACGTCGGCGACGAGGAACAGACGACTCTCCTTGTATAAACGGCTGAATCGTATTCGAAATCGATTTACCAATTAGCACGGTTCGTCACTGATCGTATCGAAGGTGCAGATGATCTCCATAACCCGCGAAGATCATTGGCAATTCCATAAAGCATCGCGAGGACGCAGCTGTCGACACCTCGATTATCCTTCCTGGATCGTTAGGTCGAACCTCGCGAGCCACGTTAGATCGCGTCCGACGTGTTTTCTGACCGCTCGCGACGATTCGATCAACTGCTAGATCGCGGCTGGACCGGTCCTTCCTCCTGCCGGCCCTCTTCCTCGTCCAACCACCCTTTTCGCCGCCACCCCGCTCTCCCTTTATCCTGCCTACCTTCTTCGTTTGCTCGGCTACTCTTCCAATTAGCATAGTCCGTAAGTAGAGTTGGGGGCACAAGTTTCAGGCTTTTCCTCCGGCTCGGATTACATCGTGTTCGCGATCTACGCTCGATGAATCGGCCGGAGCCGTTCCGCGGAAAGTGGACGTGGGTCGACGGGTCGAGACGCGCGGCGAAGCGACGTCCCCTTCATTCAGTATTCCGGAGTTTTTCTTTTCGTCTTTTCATCTTTTTGCCTTTTAGGTTTCGGTCGCTTTGGTGACGCTGCGGTTACGGAGCGCGTTACTGTGAGGCATATTGAATTTTGTAAACGTTGTTTGGTAAATGTTTACGCCGGTTTTGATTGACGCAGTTATACGAATGTCTGTCGCAATCGTCTATTTTTAAATTTTTAATTTGAAATTCTAAACAAACGAACATCCATTTTTCTAGGAACAATATAATAATGTGTACAATATGTCCGTGAACCTAGTGTTAATCAAATTCAAATGATTGAGTTTTTTGTTTAGCTGTCGATGTTCATTTTCTAGGTGATGTGTCGAGCGAACAGAGTGTTGTTCGATTCATCACATGTAGGAAGGCGCAGAGAGCAAGTTTTGAGAGCGATGAGTGCTGATCCAGTAACAATTGAAGGACCACATATTTTGTAAACCACGGTTTTATTATTGTAAAAACGTAAATTTATATTAACAGCAAGGAAGCTAGTCATTACCGATATAGATAATATTTAACATGAATCATCATAAATAAAGGAGTAATGACAATAATTGAACGGAAATTGGTGCCGGAGAAATTACTTGAATATAACGGTTCCAAACGACTCCACGCTCCATCCGCTTATTGTTGCTTCTTAAAATTAAAAAAAAAATAATCATGGACTTATCTATAAAACGCATGAAACAAGATTCAGGAAGAAGCATTAAAGAAACTTGTTGCTAGATTATCTCGAATCGTTAACTCCGTTATTGCTTGGCGAGTGGGATGCATAGTCGAATGAAATATTTAATAATTTTCCTTTATTCATTGGCGAGACTTCGAACGCGTGACGTAACCTAATATTTTCATGCGTCGATCGCACAAATTAATATCCGTTTAATGTATAAATGCAATAATAAATGTTTCGATTGAAAATCTCGAAATGATTTAATGCTCACGGATATCATTGCACGTCGAACGACTGTGAAACATGGAAAACTTTTTAACTATGCCAATACAACGTAGAAAAATAGATGTTCGGTGAATCTAGGATCGTGTCTCGGCGGATTCCTGACGTAATGCGTGGAATCACCGTACGTAATCGCAATGGCGTCCCCACTCGAACGACCGGTTTAGCCGCGAGAGAACAAACACGTTTAGAATAAAGTATTGCCAGAGAACAGTGTTATTTTTTCAGCGTTTAATTGCGCGCGGGACGGGATACATTAACTTTTGGATGAATCAGTAGGACTCGTTTTTACCATTCGAATGTAACTCGTGCTCATAGAAATAAAGAAAAAGAAAAAGAAAAAGGAGAAAGACACCATTTTGCTAATAAGCACAGTTGAATTCATTATGTTGCCCGGAGTACTCGTTCCGCGTCTTCTATACCCGTTTCTCTTTTTTATCCAATAAAGATTCGAGCTAGACACGATATAAAAAATTCATTAGAAATAGCTCGTAAAACGTATATATATCGTGCATTGCCGTTTTAACGATGTACTATCAGGCACACGGAATAACTTAAAGTTACATTCAGACATTTGGCGACACTACCAATCGTAAAAGTTTCACGAGATACGATATACCGATTCGTTAATGGGGGATTCCAGCTTGGAGGTTTTGAAAAAGAAAAAAAGGAATACCGAATTTTTCTTTCACCGCGTATAAATACGTTCGCTGGATCTTTTATGCGTCTCGAGTGCGTGGGCAACAACGGTTTTGTAAATTCGGAAAATCACCGGGGTTACGGGCCCGCGAATGGAGTACGGACCCGCTAACGACCGGCACCAAGAAATTCCGGAGTAATAAGAATGAAATATTATTGATAATAAAATAATAATGAAAGCTTCGACGCGTGCGCGTTGGCTTCGCCTTCGAAACGTTTTCATTGTGCAACTGAAGAGATAGGAGCTGACAGCGTGTTTCGGTGCTTGCACGCTCAGCGATGGTTACGTATCGTTATTATAAGTTATGAACTTGCCGCGAGTAATTGTAGGCTCGCCAGCGAGAATGTTTGCGGAGAGTCCGGAGTACGGCCACTTCCTAAGCGTTAAGCATCGGCGTCGTTCGAAACGCGTGAAACACGCAAAAAAGAGTTGCGCATACTGGTCAAGTATTCCGTTAATTCTTACTTTAACAACCAAAATGTTAACGTTTGTACGAACTTTATTATCACGATATCTTTGTATATAAAATATTGTTTTCGAAGCACATATTGCGAAAATGTTAAAACAGTAAAGATTCAAAGCGGTTTTATCGAATCTTTGAGATTATGAGCAATTGGCAGAAAATAGAAAAATGATAATATAAGGATTAAATTGCATCTAATAGTTTCTTTATTTTTAATTGTTGAAAATAATATACTTCTTTATTTATCACAACTCTATTTTGATTTGTCTGTTCAATTCGAAGTTCTGAGGGTACAAGGATTTTGGAAACATCGAAACCGCAAGTATCAATATACTTGTGCCCCTGTCGCAGTTAAAATTATATTGTCCAGGACACTCGATACTTTTCTGAATAACGCGCGAACACCGATGGAGAAAAAAAATGTCGGTTGGTGTCCTGTGACAAGATCGCGTACAAGGGAACATTCCTCCATACGTTAACCCAAATATGAAGAACGGCGAACGTGAAATAAGCCGCTCATTAAGAAAGAATTCGCTGGAA